TTGCTAAAATATCCATGCTCTCTACAGATTCAATGAAATCCCTATCCAAATGCCAATGGCATATTTCACAGAAGCAGAACAAATAACTCTAAAAATTGTATGGAACCACAAAAGACCCCAAATGGCCAAAACAATCTTGAGAAAGAACAACAAAGCTGAAGGTATTACACTCCTTGTCTTCCAACTATACTACAAGGCTATAGTAATCTAAACAGTGTGGTACTGGAACAAAAACAGACACACAGATCAAGAGAACAGAATAAGAGTCCAGAAATAAACCTTCACATACATGGACAATTAAATTATGAAAAAGGAGCAAATAACATACAATGGAGAAATGACAGTCTCTTCAATAAACAGCACTGGGAAAACTGGACAGCAACATGCAAAAGAATGAAACTAGACCACTGTCTTACACCACACACAAAAATCAACTCAAAATGGATTAAATACTTGAATGTAAGAGCTGAAACCATAAAATTCCTAGAAGAAAACAGGTGGTAACATCACTGACGTCGGTCTTGGCTATGTTTTTGTGGATCTGACTTCAAAGGCAAGGGAAACAAAAGGAAAAATAAACAAATGAGACTACATCAAACTAAAAATCTTCTGCACAGCGAAGGAAACCATCAACCAAATGAAAAGGCAACCTACTGAATGGGAGATGATATTAGCAAATCACATATCCAATAAGGCATTAATATCTAAAAATATCAAAATATATAAAGAACTCATACAACTTAACAACGAAAGCAAAAATAAATAAATAAAACAACCCAACTGAAAAACGGTCAGAGGACGCGAACAGACGTTTTCCAAAAGAACACACAGAGATGGCCAAAAGACTCATGAAAAGGTGTTCAATATCATCCATCGTTAGGAAAATGCAAATCAAAACCACAATGAGCTATCACCTCATACCTGTTAGAATGGCTATTAACAAAGACAATAAATACAAATGCTGGAGAGGATGTGGAGAAAAGGGAACCCTAGTACACTGTTTCTGGAAATGTAACTTGGTGCAGCCACTAGGGAAAACAGTATGGAGGTTCCTCAAAGAGTTAAGAAGAGAACTACCACATGACCCAGCTATTCCTCTTCTGGGTATTTATCCAAAGAACACAAAAACATTAATTCGGAAAGACACATGCACCCCAATTTTCACTGCAGCATTATTTACAATAGTCAAGATATGGAAACAACGTTAAGTGTCCATCAATAGATGAATATATATATATGTGTACCATACATATTGCATATGTATGTATGCAACTCAGCCATGACAAAAAATGAAATCTTGATATTTGTGACAGCATAGATGGACATTGGAGGTATTTTGCTATATGAAGTAAGTCAGAGAGAGAAAGACAAATACCATGATTTCACTCACATCTGAAATCTTAAAAAACAAAACAAATGAACAAAATAAAACAAACACATAGATACAGAGAACAGATTAGTGGTTACCAGAGAGGAAGAGGGTTGGGGAGCGGATGAAAGGGGTAAACGGGGTCCAGTGTATGGTGATGGATGATAACTAGGCCTGTGGCGGTGATCACTGTGTAGTGTATACAGATGTCAAATTATAATGCTGTACACCTGAAATTTATGTAATTAAAAAAAGAGGTAGGAAGGACATAAATTTGGAGTGGGCAGGTATAAACAAAAACACAACATACACTAAACTTTTTTAGCGTTACTTTACTACCACTTCTAAGGAAATAAAAACACAAAGATAACCTGAGAACGAAATAAAAGGAAGCCTTTGATTTTTTCATCTTCTTTTTAGCACTTAGCAGCCTACCTCATATTTTGCTATTTCCCAACAACTGATGTAGCCAAATCTACTCAGCTTTGAGGTTTGTGAGACTATTAAATGCTATATGAAAATGAACGATATGGCTTCTACAAAATAATAAAAAGAATTTCAGAAAAAATTTAACAGCTGCTCTACTTAAAGAAATCTAGCTAGATAATATGTCCATTTCAGTTCATCTTAATCATCAAGAGATCTTTAAGCAAGTAACTAGAATTCTAAAGTCTGCAAATAACAAGTTTAATATCATTAAATCACATGTTAAAAAGGAAAATAAATGAGCATTGTGTATGCAGTATGGCTAAATGTGCCAATGCCAATTAAAGCCTTTGTTAAAGTAAAGATACTAAGTGTCTTTAATTAAACTTGGGGGGCGGGGTTGAAAAACAATGTCTAACAGCGGAGGGTGTCTCTCCTATTTCACACCAGCTAAGCTAGGATTCTCCACTTCTAGGTCTATCCTACTTCAGCTCATGCTAACAGGCTTGCTGACTGCTAATAATGACTTTCTGATCTGCCTAATGCTGAACTGAAACCAATTCTGAGTGTTTTCCAGGGTTGCCTGTTGGGTCCATCACATGGTTTCATACCTTACTCAATGCAGAAGAAGAAATAACATACCACAAAACCACTTTACTCAAATACCAAATCTGTGACCAAATCATACAGCTGAGGAAAATCTCCAGTCATCCAAACTAGTTCCTTGAATCTTGGCAAATAATCTACCTAAATTTAAACAAAAATAATTTGTCCTGGATTTTATTAAGTCAAATTTAACTTGTACTACAGTGAATAAATGGGGGGAGGGTAAAGGTGGAAATATACTTGCATTTAAACCTTCTATCGGACTCATAATAAACTAAAAAATTTGGAAAAATCATCAACCAAAGTTGGCTAATAATGCATACCTTAACCAAAACTAGATAAGCATGGGAAGTGACTCAACTACCATCAATAAGAAAAAATACATAAAAAGATTAAACTTTTGAAAGTTTCAAATAGAGTTGACAAGTAGATGACTCGGGCTACTGAAAAACATTTAAGTCTTGGTGATAAGAAGAGATTTTTTTTTTTTTTTTTGAAAGGGTAGAGTTTTCAATGTGCTAAGTAATAATCAACAACATAGCCTTTTAATATCCTTTCCCTGTATGCTTCCTTTCAAAAGCATTTTCACCACCTCTTCATTTATTTCTTTTTTTTAGAATATGCAAAATATGGATCCCACTTTGTTCTCCCTGAAATAATTCTTTTTCACACAACCTGAGCTTCACTAAAGCTTAGCTACAAATAACAGGTGGGGGAGGGGAGAGGATAAATAACAGGTTTTAATTGCTTTATCTTATGACCTGTAAGATAAAACAAAATCACTCCATGACCAAAATCATGGGCTTTTCTGATTCTAACAACTTCCAGAAAAATCAAAGGCTGCAATCCAGAAGGATCAATGTAAAGTTATAAAAAGACAAAATGTAGAATAAAACATCATATAGATGGTGAACGTAAAAACAGACTATAGGAATTAAATATTTGTCCATCTTCTTTTTTCCCTTATAGTTAAAGAGTTTTACAGAATTTATATATGGCCTAAAAATTAGGAAAGCTATGACTGTACACCATTTTGAGTATTTCCATAAAAGATATGCTAAATACCACTTCAGCAGCTTCTTACCCATTAATAATAATCATTCAGCAACCCAATGATCAAAAGATTAGTAAACTATGTACCACATGACTGGATATTCTGATTCAATTCCTAAAAATACCCCCCAAAGTAGATGTGATTCCCTCTTTGGTCATTTCCTTTATGAAACAGAGTCAATTCAGTTTTGCTCAAGGGCCGATGAGCCCAAGTAGGTATCGTTTTACATCGCCTTGATTTTGTCCCCCTCCTACTTTCCAACATTTGCCTTGTTCACTAATTTTTTAACACTTCCACCAGAGGACAAGTGATATATAAGACAAGGCTCAATTCAAACCAGTCAGCTTTACTCCTTACTAGCAATTCTGTTGAGAGAGTGAACACGAGAAAGGAGACAGAGAATAAGAAGTTGGCTGGGCTCAGAAGCTGAAACTAAGGGCTAAAAGGAAGCTCTGAAAGTACAGGTTGACTTTAATAAATCATGCCCTTTCTCTGGAAAATGAGGATCTGATTTTAAAACTAACGTGTGTGTGTGTGTGTAATATATGTGTGTACACACACACACACACACACACACACACACACACAACTACAGGAGGCATGCTGAGTCCTCGTGTACAGATCTCCTGAGAGTTAAAGACAGGTGTCACCTGCTTGCATGGGTCTTTGGATATTAGCTATGTGACATTTCATTATACAGCTGCTTATGATGGAGGTATTGTATGTTTCTATCTTCATTTCCTCCTTCCCTTTGACAATCACCTCACACCTCCAAACCAATAAACCCTTGGTAGTTTCGATCTTATTCTCCACGCCAATAACTACATGATTACAAATCAGCAACTGGCGTCTCGCCATGGCTCACAGCCTTGTTTTGTAGGGATCAGTGTTTAAAATTCCAGTTTCTAGGCTCTGGTAAAAACGAGGCAATCTGGCAATACTGAGACAAGGTGGCCACATGACAACAGAGTTGGAACAGGGTGGCTTGGATGGAAAGTAAGGACTTCCACTGGTCAGAGTCCCACTGCAGCTCGGTCCACTCAGCCTAGGCCCCAACCGTGGTCAATTTGCCATCCCACCACAGGATGAGATACCTGCCTTACAAGCAAGTTAGAAAACCGGACGGTGCAGAAGCACAGACCCCAGCGCCACAGGGACCTGTGCCTTTGATCTCAATGCATTTAACATCAGACTCCAATCTGCTCCTCTCATGAAAGATCTACTTTCATTTTAGTTCCTCTTCCATTTGTCTCGGGGTTATGTAACCTCACAGGAGGTCACACAAGTCTCCCCCAAAAGAAATTTTAGCTGTCTTTTCAAAGTAAAAAAAGAACCGTGAATAACAAAGACAAACACAAAACTGAAACGTGCATTCTCTCCCTGACAAGCAAAGATTTACCCTCCCTGTTAATCTCAAAAATCATAATCTTAAGGGGAAAAGAAGTTAAAATCCAAAGGATGGAAAACCATGGTGCGCCCTGGGGACATAGGCTTTGCCATATTCCCAACAGACTATCAAGAAGAAACACGTAATTAACATCTTACCATCTTCCAGTTCAAGACAAAGATTATATACAGCCACGGGTCTCTTAGTCCTCTGGCCCTGTCTCTTCGATTGCCTTGGTGGAGCATTTGGGGGTGATGCTGACAAGGTGACTGGCTCAGGCAGTGTGGCATCAGGCAGGGTCCTAAAAATCTGCCATCAAAACAGGAAGGACATTAATTGTTTTCCATGAACAGAAACCTGCGTTTTGCACCAGTATACCAGTACCAAACAACATTTGGAGTTCATCCAAAAGGGACTGTTGGAGCCAAAAATCCATGCCTTCAAATTTTGGGTATTAAGTCATAAGTCTTTATTTTTTAACAGAGATTTCAAAATAAAATTTCTCATTAAAATTAAGTAAAAGCAGCATCAAATCATTATATTTCAAAATAGATTCATGCCCATACTAAACAAGTATAACTATCTTCACCAGATGTAGACAATACCACAGCTCTTCATCCACAAAGGAAGTAATCCGGATAAAACATTAAAAACAAATATCCCATTCAATTTCACACGGAGTTATATTTATGCCAAAATGCTAGTCTCAATTTTTTTTCAAACTACATAAACAGAAACATATGACCACAAATATTATTTACACATTTAAAAATAGCCTGTGCTTTACGAAATTACCTTTCTGATTCCCACGAGCATTTTTCAGAAAATGCTTTGTAGATTTCACCAATTCGTTTAATACCTTCCAACTTCTCTTAAATATTTCCCCTCCATTTATGAAACCTAGAGTATCAGCACCTTGATTATCTACAGTGTCATTCACCTATCAGCAATAACAACATTAATTAAAATGTCCTGCTTCTTTGCTTAGCAATTGTTTTTTCTCTTGAGAAAAGCAAACTGTGCCATAAAGGGAAGCATATCATACAGAGGTGATTTATAATAAAATTTTCATAGCTGCCAAGACCTGAGTTCAGAAGCTTCCTGTCCCCAACAACACTGGAGTCCCTTCAGCCCTCAATGAAGTCATAACATAAAATATTTAGACATCACCCTGACACTGTATCTCCAGAGGGCTGATGTTCTAAAGGTAGATGCTCGAAGAAAGCCAGCTAGAATTAAACAAACCGTAAATATAAAACTCACAATAAAAGGCACTGTGTGAAAGCCCCACTGTTACAAGGAGATTATTATTTATATATTTGAATAAAAACATGACCTGTGTATACAAGTGAGCATATCGCATATATGTATCACATTTAATAGCTAACAAACGTGTCAGAATTATATTCACGGTCTAAAAGTTCTCACCTAAAAACTATTATATACCAACAGAAATAAACAATTTCAACAGAGCATTTGCTTTATAAGTACCATACTGCCCCCTCATGTGTAAACTGAATAAAAAATGGTTTAAATTACTGTGGACAAATATTTGCTAGTGAAAAGTTAGTTTTGTGCTCCAACGGGTAACCTGCTAATACCATATTTCCACCGACTTTGTGCTCCAATAGGGCAGTCTGGCAAACAGCAAACTACTCACCTGCCCAAAATCCTCTGCTGCCCCTACTAGAGAATGGACCTGAGGACACAGGGAGGGTGAAGGAGAAGCCGGGACGAACTGAGAGAGTGGCATGGACATATATACACTACCAAATGTAAAACAGAGATAGCTAGTGGGAAGAAGCCGCATAGCACAGGGAGATCAGCTCGGTGCTCTGTGACCACGTAGAGGGGTGGGATAGGGAGGGTGGGAGGGAGACACAAGGGGGAGGAGATAGGGGGATATATGTCTATGTATGGCTGATTCACTTTGTTATACAGCAGAAACTAATACACCATTGTAAAGCAGTTACACTCCAATAAAGATGTTAAAAAAAAATCCTCTGCTGTCTAGACTATCATCCACATCTGGACTTATTGCCATCTCTCATTGTTCAAATTAAGGAAGGTTGTGAAGTAGAGGGAACAGGAGAGAAGTTAGGCTGTGAAGAGGATGACAGGGGTGAAGGAGAGAAGACACGGGGGGAAAACTTGATCCCATCAAAAGAAACTAGCACCTGTGTGTGACCAACACTGGGAATAGCTCAGTGACTTATGTTCGATCTTTATAAACATGGCACATGGCTCTGGAATGGTATTCAAATAGGAAACCAAACAACACAGAGCCAATACACCCAAAGTATAAATAAACAGTGGAGAGGTTATATCCCAAGAACCGGCGCTGGATAGCTGATAACCTTCCGAGCAGCCCTTCCTGGAAGATCGCACCGACTGGAAGGATGAGAATGCTGACGATGGTCTCCCCTCCCTGCCCCTCTCTCCCCCACCACCACACAGCGTGAGGGTGAGGGTGGTAAGGTGTGAGAGCAGCCCCGGTCTGCAGAGCCGGAGTACCAAGCAAACCGGGACCCAAGAGTGTGACTCCAATGCTCCTGGGGGGGCTGATCTGAGATATCCCAGAGCTGGGCTTCCAGAAGTCTCCAGAAGACTTATGACATCATTCAGTTTACATCAGAGTATCTAGGAGACTATTATTGAGCCATCAAAAAGAAGAAAGTCCTGCTACATGCAACAGCATGCGTGCACCTTCAACCTCAGTGAAATGAGTCAGACAGAGAGAGGACAACACTTTATGATCTCACTTATATGTGGAATCTTAAAAAAGAAAAAAAACAAACTCATAGAAACAAAGAACAGACTGCAGATTGGTGGTTACCAGAGGCAGCTCTGGGGATGGATGAGGGTGGCCAAAAGGTACAAAGTTCTTCCAGTTATATGAAAAATAGGTTCTGGGGATGTAACGTCCAGCATGGTGAACACAGTTACCAGCACTATATTATATACTTGAAAGTTGCTAAGAGAATACATCTCAAAACTTCTCATCACGAGAAAAAAAAATTTGCAACTATGTGAGGTGATGATGGATGGTAACTAAATTTATTGGGGTAATTTTTCACAATATATACCCATATCAAATCATTATGCTGTATACCTTCTACTAATGCAATGTTATATGTCAATTATATCTCAATAAAACTGGAGGGGGGAGAATATCTAGGAATAGGGACTTGGCTTTGCGGGGTGAGGGGGGGTTGTTTTGTTTTTCTGTGGTTTGTATTTTAAAGCTCCCCAGGTGATTCTTTTGTATAGCCAAGGCTGAGAAATACCCATTTAGACAGTCATTCCACAGCATTCTGTACTTGTCTTGGATGGACCAAAATCTAAATTGAAACACCAGAAAAATTATTTCAAAAAAAGTGGCACTGGACATATGCAATCAATTCCTTGGATCTTCCCAAGTCCTAATCAGGCATGAAATGTTTCAAAGCTTCTAAAGACCAACCATTCCCTCAAAAAATTCTATGTGTATTAGCATTTCAAAGAGCTAACCTATCATCAAATTAGGTGGTTCCAAAGCACAGATGCTAACTTGAAAAGGTACTATCCTGGCTTTTAAGTCTTCGAAGCTATGGAGGCTTAGACATATTATTAAAAGAGTGTATCTCATCTTCTCATTTATATAGTGAGAGCCATAATACTTATGTCTCAAGTTATTACCGGAATTAAATGAGACATTCATAAAGTATTTGGTACAGCACTTGGTACATAGTAACCAGAAGTAAATGGTAGCTATTCTATTTGTAAATATGATCACATCCAGTAAATAGTGATAATAAAAATGGATGCAGACCCTTATTACTCTACTAAACCACTGTTTTGAGAAGCCATTAATTTTTTGAGGCCTTGAATTCCTCAAATTCAGTGTTTAGTTAATCAAAAGTGTTTGCGGAAAAACTCATCAAGAAATGGACTAAAGGGAAGCAATAAACAGAGCCTCTTGTCAAAATTCCAAAGTCACCTAGAATCACAGTTGTTTTGTGTATTTACTTCCGCATTTCAGCACTGAAATTTGAGATTTAAATTGCTTTCTCTATCATTCATTACCTAATAAACACCTACTAGGTGGTAGGCTTTCTCTGAAGCACTTCAGCATCCTCAAGAACCTTTGAGGTATGTATTGCTCTTCACAGTTGAAAATAATAAAAGCTCAAAGATTAAACAATCAGCCCAAGTCTCCACAGTTTGAAGATGGCACAGTTGGTATCTTAACTCTCAACTCTGATTCCAAAGCCCCCGCTGCCAGTTTAAAAAACAAACAAAATTTAATTCTTAGGGGAAAAATCACCACTTATACTGTTCTGTATCTGTTTAGAAAGAGTAAATCTGGAGATTATAGACTCACCATCATTGTGCTATGTTCTTCTAGATGTTTCAAGAATGCATTACCTTTTGTATGCATTTAACCTTGTCTGCCAATGCATCAACCTCAGTTCTCATTTCTTTTTTTTTAAGCTATTGATACAAAGCTATGCTCTCATGGTTCTCTCTGAAATGTCAGAAATGATTTTAAAAGATACTCTTTTTAAATTCAGAAGAGGAGGAAACTAAATTATTTACTTTAAAATTTTGTCTTCTTTCTTGGCAATCTGATTCTAGAAGTTAAAAGTTAGCTGATCTTGTTCTGTGTAGCCAATGTGTGTCTTCTTTAAACGTAACACTGGTTTTCCAATTCTAGAACCATGGCATGGATGCAAATTCCCCTACCGCCCAGGTCTCTTTCCAGAATCGTGTGACTCTCCTAACTTCCCTACATCATGTCACCTTTGTTCTAGGGCAAAAGATGAAATTATCTTAAGGAATAGATCAAGTCTACTCAAAACTTTTTTTGCAGGCTAGAAAATTTCTTCACTTTACCTACGTATTTACAACATAAGAAAAACTCAAACCAGACAATCCAATGACAAAAAACAAAACTCCACACGTAGGTGTCAGGTAAGGAAGTGCTTATTCAGGTCTCTGAAGAGTGCTAGCACAAACAAAGTCTGGCACTATTGCTCAGAGTCACAGATTCCTTACACACAACAACTGGATGTTTATGCCCACGGGACGCAGCCATACATGTAAACACCTCCCCAAGTCCTTCCATCGCGCTCTGCTACCAGGGGCCACGTGTGGAAATGACCGGTCCACCTCTGCTGGAAATACTTTGCAGAGAATAGGAAACAAGAATGGGCTCTGCAAATTTCACTTTAGTACCCAACTCAAACCTACAGCATTTGGTTCAGCTGAATTAATAAATACTATGGGTAAAGGAAATTAAGGGGAATGAGATCATTCTTTTCTAAAAA